GTTTTAAAAGAATCAGTTAAGAATAGACAAAGGGTGGGCCTCAATTAGAAGAATTCTTTTAGACTGGGGTAAACAAAGGAACTAAGTTCACATGCCTGACAAACCCTTATTCATCCCCCCAAAATCAGCTTGAACATCACCTACATTACAACATCTCCTCTAACACCTGCAGAATGGATACAAACAAGTTAGCGAGAAGATGTGCCCAGGTATGGCCATGGGTGCCAACACCCATGGCCCTTATATCTGGGATAGAGGAAGCATGGGAACAGCTCACATGGGACACCGCACATAAGGAGGAGGCTGGGGTTTTGCCAGGAGAGACAGCAGGACAGGGGTCCCAAGTCCCAGGTCACCAAGGGTCTCGACAGGAACGCAACTCGGGGAATCAACCGTGGTCTCCAGACTGGAAGTAGAAGATGCCAGAAATGGCCTGTAAACTGGAGACAAGGAGATCAGAAGTCTGGCCATCAGAGTCACCGTGAGAGAGTGTGAAGCTGCAGGAGTTTGTTTACAAAGAAAGCAGGCAAATCAAACTAAGTCAGGTGAAGATGGTTTCCTCCTAAAGAAACACCCATGTCTACCTACTCTTGTCTCCTCTCTCCACCGTGCCTTCAACACTGGACTGGAACTGTCTTCAGTTCTGTCCTCAGCCTTCCTGCTCCCGGTGTCACCATTCACATCCAGGGCACAACCCCCACGTAATGGCCCATGTCCAGGCCAGCTCCCTCTCTGCAGATGGCCCTTGCGTTATCTCCAACTGGACTTCCCAGGCCCTTAGACACTAAATGTCTTCCCCCAACTAAGCCCCTCCATTTCTGTACGCCCTGCCTCAGTGAACAAGAACATGTATACCCAGTCACCTTCAACTCCTTTCTCTCGCCCGATCGCATGAGCTTTACTGACACGGCCTACCTGCTTACATATTTTTAGAATCCTCCTTCTCCTTGCTGTCCATTCCCATTGCTCCCACCTTCACCGAGGCCATCAGCCTCTCCCGCTGGACCCTGGGCCCCTCCTGCTGGCCACCCTGTTGCCTTGACCTAAATCTGTCCCTTAGAATCTTCCTCCGGTTTTAAAAATTCAGATCTCTGATGGCCACATTGGCTCTTATGAATGTGACTCTCTGGGGATGGGACCAGGAATCTGAAAGCTCTGTGGCTGCTCTCGCAGCCAGGACACAGGCAGCGTATGGAAAACACTGCTTGCAGCCCCAACAGGAGGCTTCCATCTTGCCGCCCACAGCAGCGTGAAGCCTCCCCAACCAGAGCTTCAGAGCTTCACCTTCTCCTGCTTCCTGAACTCGGCTCAACCACCCACTCCTGTCTGTGTTCCTGGGGAGGGGCAGCTGGCCACATCTCCTCTTCAGGTTCCATCCCCAGCCCTCGCCTCACTGGCCTCTGACTGACGTCAGTGCACACACCTCTGTGCAGGAAGTGCTCCCCTCAGCCATGATCAGCGATCCCCTACCTCATCACCTCCGGCCTCTCTGCCGGCCCTGCCCAGGCTCCGGCCCCCACAGATGCCCTCTCCCCACTCGCACGCCCGACCAGCTCACGCTCAAGCCGCCAAGTCAGCTGAAGCGTCTCCCCACGATGGAAGTCTTAACAGTGACTCTCTCCTCCCGAGCCCACCGCCTGCCAGAAACCCTCAGCACCCGGTACAGACATTGTCTCATTCCTTTTTGTCAACTTTCCTCCCACTAGACACTGAATTCCTTGAGGGTGGGATCTACAGTTGGAATACATTAGACACGCAATGAGTGTTGCTTGAATCCACGGTCAGTGAGTACACTGTGAAGTCATGGGAACGCTTACTAATAAATGTAAGAAATCATACATCTATTACTCAACGTGTAGTCGTCTCTAAGCAAGGATCTAAAAGAGGCATGAACACGAGTCCTACGCACGTTTATCCAGTCCTAATTACCCAACAGCAGTACAGTTTCAAAGACATGGTTGCAAATGCCTTTTGCTTGATTCATGGCCCTGGCAGCACCAGCTTTCTTCAACACCTGGAAAACGCCCTGCTGTGCCTGCTTGAGAGTCTCTGTGCTTGTGCATCCCCTTCTGCAAGATGCACACTGTTCAACAAAAACTCACCTGTTGGCTCCTTCACACCATTTCGGTCACCTTCCCAAATGTCTTCTCTGACCACGACAGCTAAAGCAGCATTCTTTGCATTCTTCTGGCGTCCTGCTAAAGTCCTCTGTAACTGCAGCCTACGCCACTACCCTCGAATTTTCCTCATGACACTTACCACGATGTGAAATCACATAGTAACATACTTATTGGATGCTGGTCTGCTTCATCCTGTGTACCACTTTACCCTCTGTACACAAACAGTATGTGGCTTATGTAGGTAGTCAACAGACACTTGCAGAATAAATAAATAGATGAGAGAGAGGAAAGCAAGTGTAATGTGAAAACACCATTATCTACTAGTCACAGAGGTAGGAAATATGCAGGTGGTAGGAAAGAGCAGGATTTTTCCCTTAAAAAAATCCCTTGGGGCGGGGTTAGGCAAACATTCATCCTCAGGACACTTAGGATCAGAACTCTCATATACCAAAGGGCACACGACTTATCTAAAGGAAATCACTTCCCTTTCAGTGGGAAGCCTTGTAAAGAAAAACTTCAGAGCAAGGAAAATTTTCCTGCCCAGACTTGCCAAAAGACCAGTCCAGAAAAAAATGGTGCCTAAACAACACTGTAAGATCTGCAAACACTGGGACCAAGACTTGTCCAATGTCACGTCCCCAGAACCCAGCAAGAGTTGTCACATTCCCAGAAACCAAACCATAAGACTTGCTCAAAATGTTTGTTAAAGAAGCATATAAGACATGGACTTCTGAGGAATGGCCATTCCACCCATTTTTATGCTTCACCCATTTATTTCAGAAACAAGGCAAGACAGCTAAGAAGCCGCCTCGGGCCTAGGCCTCTCCCTGGGCTGCAGTTTGGCTCCTAGAAATCAATAGTTATCAACCATGTGCCACAAGTAATCATGTCTTACCTTTCCCAGAGTCACCTTATATCAAATCTGAAAACACTTTGGCAACATAATGGCTAACAGAGCATAGTAACTACTAACAGATTTTGCCTGCTGTTTTAATTTTTTAGTGTTTTTTGATTAGCAAGGAAGGATAGCTCAAAATGACTTAAGAAAATAAATAAAACCGAAGAATTCTACTATTGATTGTGGTACTGGATAAGACTCTTGAGAATCCCTTGGACTGCAAGGAGATCAAATCAGTCAATCCTAAAAGAAGTCAACCCTGAATATTCATTGGAAGGACTGATGCTGAAGCTGAAGCTCCAATACTTTGGCCACCTGATGCAAAGAGCCGACTCATTGGAAAAGACCCTGATGCTGGGAAAGATTGAGGGCAGGAGGAGAAGGGGACAACAGAAGATGAGATGGTTGGATGGCATGAATGGACATGAATTTGGGCAAACTCCATGAGAGACTGAAGGACAGGGAAGCCTGGGATGCTGCAGTCCACTGGGTCGCAGAGTCAGACACGACTGACCGACTGAACAATAACAACCGCTAATTTCCTATTCAGCAGTGTATGGCTCATAGTAGGATCCCAAGAAACACACACCGCCTTCTCAACTATCAGTTTCAACAGTCATGATGTTCTTTATCCAAAGGGTACTCTTAGGGAGATTAACTACCTAGTAGCTGTTACGGTACTCTGAGGCCAGTGCTTGAAAAATGCTATAAATCAAATCATGAAACAAGGGAAATCATAAATACTAAGCCCACTTCAAAACCTGAGAAGCTGAGAAGTGAGCAAGATTTATAATTATGCCTGTCACCCTGATACTAACTTACTCCCAGACTAAGATATCAACTTACTGATCAGGTATCTTAATACATCTTTTGTTACCAGAACATTTATTGACCAGAGATAACATTAATATTCACTTATGTAACAAACTGCTGACCACAGGGGTTAATTTCTGCAAAAATCCCCTGGTCGATAATGTGATCTGTGTTCTTAAAAAGATTCCTAACTTTCACAACAGATCATGAACATTTGGATATGTCAACTGCCTGTGTCCTCGGTAAGATTAACTTCACACGTTTGGAGATAAGGAAGCATGAAGAGTGACAAGCAATTGCAAAACCTGTAGCTATTCAAACAGTTCGCTGTTGCTCTGTCAATGACTAACCTCAATGCTGTTCACGTGACATACAGTCCACCTTACCAAGAGTCAATTAGGCCATTTCAGCGAGAAAAAGAAAGCTGTTTAAAAGGCTCTCTGTATTTCTCTACCCTCTATCTGTTGACACCCCACCGCTGATGCGCCACTAAAATATAACAAACATCCAGCAGCAACGGTCCTGCTTGTGCCAAACTCCTTCCAAAGTTCCTTTCACTTTCAAGTACCTCCAATCAGCTTTTGTTTGCCTAAATACTCCTAAGGGAGGCTGAGGGGGCGAAAAAAAAATCGAAGTAAAATTAAGGGGTCAGGTTCTGAAGCCGAGGTTTGAAATTTGCATCTGAGGGAAGGCAGTTTGGGTCCCTCGGTAGCCTAAAATGAATGGAGCAAGGTGAGTGGGAAGGGAGCAGGCTTCCAGCATCGCCTCCACCCGGACAGCCTCTGGTTTCTCCGCTGAGGGCAAGAAGCCGGGCCAGAACACCAGGGCAACCCAGCCCGAACCCTAACTGCCCAGCCCACTCGGCGGCAGCCCCGGAAGCACCTGAGCACCGAACCTGGGGCTCACAGGTGGTGGGGGCCGGGGGGAGTTGGAGGCGGGACTCAGTCCTCACTGGCCCCTAGAGGCTGAGACGGGGGCGGTGACCGCTGGCCCCCACGGGGCAGGAACTACCAAGGTTCTGGCAACTGGGATGGAAGATCTGCCCCCTCACCACTCACACAAAACCTCTTGCAAACCCCCAGAGTCCCTGCCGCCCCCAGTCTCCTCAAGGAGGTACCCAAGGGTGCCGTCTAGGGGACATAACTAGGATGGCGGCGGCCGGTACTCACAAAGCCCACTGGAGCCGGTACTGGTGAACATGGTCCCGGCGCCGGACCGAGAGCCCCCGCAGGGGACAGGGGGAGGGGAAGCGGAGACTGAGGCGGGGGCGCTGTGGAGAAAAACCCTGCGACCGCGCAGGCGCACTCCGCCCGGGTCGCCGAATCCGGCAACTCGACTCCACACCAGAGGCCGCCAGAGAACAACGCATGCGCGGCTCGTCCGTTTTTGTTTTTTTTTTCCAGCCCGCTCCCCGCCTCCCACTTCCTGCCGTGAAAGGGAAGTGCGTCCGAAGCGAAAGGTGTCCGCCTCTCCAGGTTTTTCCGACGGCCGTGGAAGCCTTGGGAAAGGAGTAGGGATGGCGTGTTGGAGGCGTGGGTGTAACTCTTGGGAGACCGCACTAGCACTTTAGCTCCGCCCCCACCCCGTGGAGTCACCCAAGCAACATATGCCTCAGGCATGCCGGCGCGGGGTACATTTCCTCTCGACCTCTAACACCTCTCCCCCTGACGGGACGCCAGGCGCATTCCGCGCGTGCTCAGTTCTTTCTGGGCCGTTGCGGAGCCGGCTCCCCGGCTGACCCGACCGCCTCGAGTTCCGGTGTCCGGCCGAGTGCTGAAGAGACAGCTTCTCGGATGGAAGGGTGGGTACCCGGAGCTGGAAGGCCGTCCTTGTCGCGGGGAGCAGGGCGGTCCAGCTGTCCCCACCCTCCTTTCCCGTGTCGGTCCCTCGCGAAATCCCCACGAAAAGCGCCGAGTGCCGTGGTCCCTGGACCCTTCCCCGCCGCGGTGGCCCGTGTCGTGTCACCAGGCGCGGTGAGTATGTGGCTGAGCGAACCGGCTCCCCAGACTTCTGTCATGGAGTCCTTAAACGGACCCTTGCCATTTTTTTTTCCCTTGCAAAATTTTTACTCCTTAGTAAAGCAAATTTACTTTTCTTTTAAAGGGAGGTTGAGCATCAGCCCTGGGTGTTCATTGGAAGGACTGATGCTGAAGCTGAAACTCCAATACTGTGGCCACCTCATGCGAAGAGTTGACTCATTGGAAAAGACCCTGATGCTGGGAGGGATTGGGGGCAGGAGGAGAAGGGGATGACAGAGGATGAGATGGTTGGATGGCATCACCGACTCGATGGACATGTGTTTGGGTGGCCTCTGGGAGTTGGTGATGGACAGGGAGGCCTGGCGTGCTGCGATTCATGGGGTTGCAAAGAGTCGGATACGACTGAACGACTGAATTGAACTGAGCTCGAAAACTTTAATGTTATGTGGTCGTTACCACCGTGGTAGCCCGGCTGGTAAAGAATCCGCCTGCAAAGTGGCAGACCCGGGTTGGATTCCTGGGTCGGAAGATCCCCTGGAGGAGGTCTTCGGAACCCACTCAAGTTTTCTTGCCTGGAGGATTCCACGGACAGAGGAGCCTGGCGGGCTACAGTTCATGGGCTCGCAAAGAGTCCGACACGACTGAGTGACCAAGCATGCACACAGATCTTAAAGAACACATATGGGGAGGCTTTGGACACCTGATGCGAAGAACCGACTCATTGGAGAAGACCCTGACACTGGGAAAGATGGAAGGCAAGAGGAGAAGGGGAGGACAGAGGATGAGTTGTTTGGATGGCATCACTGACTTAATGGACATGTTTTTATTGAGTCGCTCAGTCCAGTCTGAGTCTTTCTGACCCCATGGACTGCTGCAGGCCAGGGTTCCCTGTCCTTCACTATTTCTCCCAGAGTCTACTCAAACTCATGTCCATGAAAAGGAAAGATACACCCGTCTGAATGCAGAGTTCCAAAGAATAGCAAGAAGAGATAAGAAAGCTTTTGTAAGTGAACAATGGACATGAGTTTGAGCAAACTCCAGGAGATGGTGAAGGACGGGAAGCCTGGCATGCTGCACTCCATTGGGTTGCAAGGAATCAGACACAACTTAGCGACTAAACAACAAGGGAACTACATTATTTATTATAGTTATTTCCAACAGCCTGTTTAGGTGAAGAGTTTCAGTACGGTGAAATAATTCTGGCAAAAGCAACAAAGTGTAACAGAACATTTGAGATTTCTTTTGACAGAGTTAGAACATCTTTAAATTTAATCAATCAAAAAATTTTAAATATTTCGGATTATTACCATCTCTTTTAGTTTCTGATCTGAAGTCACTTGGTTGTGTCCGACTCTTTGTGACCCCACAGACTGTAGCCCCCCAGGCTCTTCTGTCCGTGGAATTCTCCAGTCAAGAATACTGGAATGGGTAGACATTTCCTTCTCCAGGGGATCATCCCAACCCAGGGACTGAACCCACGTCTCCTGCATTGCAGACAGATTTTTTACGATCTGAACCACTGGTGCTGTGCATCTTTTATTTTGGGTCTCCCGAAAGCAGACTCTGAGGCAGAGTTTCAAATTCAGTTTCAAGTTTGTCTGGCAGTATTCCTAAAAAAGACCACTCTTTATTGAAAAAGAGATTGGGAAGGAAAGGATGGAAGCCAATAGAGACGAATGAGCACTATAGGCAGCTGAGCCAGTGCCCTAGAATCCTGCCTCCAGGCGGGGAGGGAGCTGGGGTGTTTACCCACGGTCACTCAGAGGTGCCCCCCAGCGGTGCAGTTCCCCAGCGCTTCCACCCACAGTGTGCGGTGGGGGCAGAGGCTCTGGGGGCACAGCAAGGGCTGTGGGTTGGAAGGGTGACCTTAGCTGGTTAAAGCTTAGGGTGGGGCACGAACTCGACGGCACCATCCCGCCTCTGGCTTTCCTGTTTGTTCAGCACGATGGTAAGAAGGCTGTGCTGAGAAAATTTCACATGGAAATCAGAGGGTGGGTTTGTTTTGTTTTTTTTAACAGAAGTGATGGATTGCTTTGCATCCCCCACCCCCCAGTCTTCCTCCAGTACCCACTTTAGAAGTCCACCATATCATTACTCTAGAGTTTTTTTTTTTCTTTTTCCCTTCCTTTCTTTCTTCCTCTCTCTTTTCCTCCCTCCCTCCCTCCCTCCCTTCTCTCCTTTCTTCCTCTCTTCTCTGTTTTCTATCACATAGCAAAGGCTGTAGTTTCCAGAGTCTGAGTCCTAGAGATGGATTGTACGCCCTAACACGTGGTGGGGTGTCAGAACCGGAAATCAGTTTTCTGTCAAACTTATCACTACCACTCAATGTATAGGGAAGTATTTTAAAGCAACTCGTATGGAGCCTGATTGTGAGCCAGTCAAATGTCCTCATCTTCACTCTGACCATCTGCTCTTTCTTGGAGGCCAAGCGAAGGTTCCTTGTCTTTCCCATGTCACCCACAAACATGATCTGGTCTGCTGGTCCCGTGTGCACGTTCTCAACTTCCGTTAGTTATTTTTCTGCTGTGCATTCATTTTTCTATACCTCCTGTGTGGCATCACTTCTGATCTTCTGATTTCTATTTACAGGGGAATGCTAGTGTTGTGGCTGTTTAGTCGCTCAGTCATGTAGGACTTTTGGGACCCCATGGACTGTAGCCCACCAGGCTCCTCTATCCATGGGATTCTCCAGGCAAGAATACTGGAGTGGGTTGCCATGCCCTCCTCCAGGGGATCTTCATTGAAGGTCACCTAGAGCTTCAGGGGACAATTGTAAAACCACCTGTATCTGTCTGCCCGAGGGCCTTCTTGCATGCACGAGCTTGGTGATAGAAGGTATATGACATATTTGGAGATATAGAAGCTCTTTATTATCTTAATATGACCATACATATTCCATAACACTAACTGTTGGCTAGAATATTTGTAAGTTATATTGTTCACAAATATGATTACTCTGTCCTTTATCCATTTTTCTCCTCTGAGGGTAATTTTGATCAAATGGATGGGATCTTGCTCATAGTACAAGAGCAGTATTAAAAGCAGAATGGATACCTAACTTCCCATTGCAGGGTTGTCAACACCACACCTTCATTTCCTAGCCTGTCCCTGTTGTTTAAACAAACTGAATACTCATTCAAAGAGGCTATCAGATGTAGTGCTATTAGTTCATGTTCTCCCGAAAGCTAACCTTGAGACAATTTCGGTACAAATCCCACCCCTCCATTTGAGAGGTGACTCTAGGAAACGTGGTTAGGACCTAGGAAGGTGAGATAGGGAAGAGGGTAGTGAATAATGAGTGGGTTACATCTGTGAGCACTTGGAAGTGAGTCCTGTTAGAGAGCCTCTAAGAGTCTGAGCAAAACCCATCTCACAACTGTCTCACCAGCAGGCAAGGAAGCCGAGCTATTTTCGTACCAACTCCCTTTCTCATTGGATAAGGGTTGCTCCTGAGGTTATAACACCCTCCACCCTCCACTGTGCTTTCAGCCAAGCTCGTGCATGCAAGAAGGCCCTCGGGCAGACAGATACAGGTGCTTTTACAATTGTCCCCTGAAGCTCTAGGTGACCTTCCACATGGGCAAAGAGGCTATGGTTGGGACAACATCAGCATCTGCCAAAAGTGGAAAGAAGGTATTGAGGCCAAATGACCAATTCCCCTTATCCTCTTACTGCAGGCCACAGGGCAGGACGTGTTTACTGGGCCAGCATTTTCCTCCCCTTGATGGAGATGGCTGAGGATTCATACCACATGACCCATCCTGGCCCATGATGGAGCTGTCCTGGATCCTTGTCAGGGTGCAGGCTGGATTTCAGGGCATCATCAAAACAGGACAGACATGCCAAACTTCATAACCTCACCCTCTGCCCATGATATGTCCTCTTAGGAATCTGCCCAGTCACCTCCTGTCCATTTGGACAAGGCTAACGACCAAGATCTGCGTCCCCCAAGGTTGTATCAACAGAAGTGGGAACTTGTCGCTAACTGGCTTACTCAAAGATATGAGGATCATTATTGACTCCGATGTTTAATTTTGCTGTGCATCTCATGGCCAGGTCATGCTGACCTGTGATAGCATGTTGATTTGATATGTTCAACATAATGTCCTGAAACAAGATATATTCTTTAGGAACTTCCCTGGCAGTCCATTGTTTAAGACTCTGTGCTTCTACTGCAGAAGTTGAGAGGGCACAGGTTCAAGCCCTGGTGGGGGAACTAAG